ACTATTTGTCAACAAAACTATCAACTTCAAAAACGCAACAGTCTAAATAAGCGGTAAAACAAAGTTGTACGCGCAACATAAACCTCGTGTTGAAATGAAGCGCAAAGCGCAGCGGAGCAAGTGGTCGTTAATCGCCATTGCTGCCTTTGAAGTTAGCTTTTTTACTTTTTAAGCGTTCTGTGAGTGCTAAAAAAATCTGTCTGCTAAAAAACTTGTCTGCTAAATTCGCTAGCACCGATTTTACCTTACCTGACTCAATTTTTTTTACATTTCCTGCTTAATTTGTTTCGTTCAAATTTGATTATGAATTGACTTTAAACTGTGTTGAAGAAGGCAACGAAGTTCATTTTGATTAGTTCTTATTTTTTCGTTTTGATATTGCGGCTCCTACAATTCTCAGCTTGCGTCCAGAGAATGTGGTGGTCATTTGAATTCTCTCAGAAAATTGACTCGTGGGTTTTTCCTGATTCTGATATGATTTGATTTTCTTTTTTGAACAGATTTTTTACAAGGTAGAATGTTTAGTTGAGTTGGTGTAAGTTAGAAAAAAGTTTATTTTTCTATGTTATCCATTAAATGATATTAAAATAATTTTCTTTTCCATTTCCCCAGCTTTTCATCCAATAGGTATTTATGCAATAGCTAGCTGGAAAGCGCACTCGGCTTTTTCCAGTTCAACATTTTTCCTCAAAATTACAAAATAAAATTGTTCAAAAATTGTTGACACAGCATTTTTGCATGTGAAAATTGTTGTACCAATTTGTTCACCTGTTCCTTCTGACACCTTTTAACGCTGTAACATTTGCTCGGAAGTGCACATCGACGGAAAATAAAGCTAGGTTGTAAAATGACTGGCTAGCGTCTAAACACAGCTCTACATGCTTTTAAACCGTCTCTGCCAAAGCAGTTCTTTTTGTGGTCCTTTTAATATCGGGTCGACAAAAACGTTACTATTTTGGGCTTCGGTCAGAACGCTCAGATTAACTTAGTTACATGCAAAAGTAATAGGTTCATGGCTGCGTCTCAGTATGCTCAGACCACGAGATCACTCCTAAAAACAGGGCTACTACTTATTTACTATATTATAAACCCTTTTCCTCAACTCCTAGCTTCTCATTATCTGAAAATGAATTCGGTATTAATTAAATTATATTCAGCACATTCCAGGAAGCTAATTTTTTTTTAAATAGGGTTTGAGTTCTCTTCCCAAGACCCTTCCGGATTCTGGAATCCAGACGAAGAGCGGTCTTATCTTTTTCCCGTTTTATCCGCTATACTTTGGCAGCGAGGAGGATAAATTTATGGTGAATATATACAAGTTATCTGTGCGACCAGTAAATTGAAATTTTTCATTACCATAGAAAGAAAAGTGATTACCATCTTTACCAAACATAATAGCACTGAAAATAATGTTCAAATTGAGAGAAACCACTCGGATTCTTGAAAGCAGACCAATTTTTTAGCATAAAAAGTGAAAAGTGAGTCTTTCAGCAGACAAACGTAATAAAGTGATGGATGATTTGTTGACAGACTCAAAAAACGCTCAGTCTGGGGCCATCTTTCCCCAATTAAGTCAATCATTTCACTATTTGTCAACAAAACTATCAACTTCAAAAACGCAACAGTCTAAATAAGCGGTAAAACAAAGTTGTACGCGCAACATAAACCTCGTGTTGAAATGAAGCGCAAAGCGCAGCGGAGCAAGTGGTCGTTAATCGCCATTGCTGCCTTTGAAGTTAGCTTTTTTACTTTTTAAGCGTTCTGTGAGTGCTAAAAAAATCTGTCTGCTAAAAAACTTGTCTGCTAAATTCCCTAGCACCGATTTTACCTTACCTGACTCAATTTTTTTTACATTACCTGCTTAATTTGTTTCGTTCAAATTTGATTATGAATTGACTTTAAACTGTGTTGAAGAAGGCAACGAAGTTCATTTTGATTAGTTCTTATTTTTTCGTTTTGATATTGCGGCTCCTACAATTCTCAGCTTGCGTCCAGAGAATGTGGTGGTCATTTGAATTCTCTCATAAAAATTGACTCGTGGGTTTTTCCTGATTCTGATTTGATTTGATTTTCTTTTTTGAACAGATTTTTTACAAGGTAGAATGTTTAGTTGAGTTGGTGTAAGTTAGAAAAAAGTTTATTTTTCTATGTTATCCATTAAATGATATTAAAATAATTTTCTTTTCCATTTCCCCAGCTTTTCATCCAATAGGTATTTATGCAATAGCTAGCTGGAAAGCGCACTCGGCTTTTTCCAGTTCAACATTTTTCCTCAAAATTACAAAATAAAATTGTTCAAAAATTGTTGACACAGCATTTTTGCATGTGAAAATTGTTGTACCAATTTGTTCACCTGTTCCTTCTGACACCTTTTAACGCTGTAACATTTGCTCGGAAGTGCACATCGACGGAAAATAAAGCTAGGTTGTAAAATGACTGGCTAGCGTCTAAACACAGCTCTACATGCTTTTAAACCGTCTCTGCCAAAGCAGTTCTTTTTGTGGTCCTTTTAATATCGGGTCGACAAAAACGTTACTATTTTGGGCTTCGGTCAGAACGCTCAGATTAACTTAGTTACATGCAAAAGTAATAGGTTCATGGCTGCGTCTCAGTATGCTCAGACCACGAGGTCACTCCTAAAAACAGGGCTACTACTTATTTACTATATTATCAACCCTTTTCCTCAACTCCTAGCTTCTCATTATCTGAAAATGAATTCGGTATTAATTAAATTAAATTCAGCACATTCCAGGAAGCTAATTTTTTTTTAAATAGGGTTTGAGTTCTCTTCCCAAGACCCTTCCGGATTCTGGAATCCAGACGAAGAGCGGTCTCATCTTTTTCCCGGAAGGCTGGTCACGTCGTCCCAACACCCTTGCTAGTTCTCAGGAAATACCTTGTAACGGTTGTAGCTGCACAATCGTTGCAACTCGGAAAGGTCTTCCAACAATTATCTCGATTGCAATTTCAATTTGTATCGCACAATTGTCGTTCACCTCGTCTGTTTCAACGAATATTGTTCTTCTGATTTTTCACATTTTCAGGTGTAGCGAAATTTCAACGTCGTGACGTAATTTCCTTTTTGAACGATTTTTTATATAAATATGCATGTCACACCGAAGTGACCACTCCCGATTCGCTAAATCGTCAGATTAGCGCTACTAATCTGCCAAAGCTGCCAATCTTCACAGTTCGATGTTATAATTAAATTTTGAAGTCGACATGCATTTAAAGGCATTCTGGTCCAATGTCACTCGCAGTTGATAAAATGAATAGCCATTTAAATAGTTTTTCGTAAATCGAAATGTTGGAAAATAAAACTGTTCCACTGTGTTAACCAGTAAATGATTTTAAGACAATTTGGGCAAAGAAGAGAGCTAGGCTCTTATCCATTTCTTCCGCTTTGATTTTTTCTGAATTTCGTTTTTATGAAAGTCTATTTAAAATGGCTTTTCATTTTATAAACTGCGTTAAAAATTGTCAGATGAGGAGAGATGGAAAACTTAAAAAGCCAAGAGCGGTTTCCAGCTAGCTATTGGAAAAGGCTGGTTAGTGTTGCGCAGTTTCGCGTTACCTGTGTCAAAAGTGGCGAGTTCCCATAAATCTCTACGTTGTTATAGTTCCCAAAAAATTGAACCCGTGGTATAGGCCTCAAGTTATTCAGTCGCTTAAGTCTCAACATAGACCGTTAGTATAGAGTTAACATAATTGCTCAAAAGACGTTAGGTTGCAGGATCGGATCCCGACGGGGAACGTCTTCTTGTTCGCATAAAAAAAGTATGTAATAAATGCAGAGTCTGAATTTTTAACTAAAAACATCAAGTTTATTTCCAGACTATATGCAATATAGGTTGTTTACATCTCTAAATCAGTAGGAAAACTAAGTTCAGTTATTATCATGAAAAAGATTTTTAACAATATTATTTGAAAGTTACCGCTATATTATCACTTTTAAAACTTCAAAAGCCGTTGTTGAAATGCTTTGCTCACAAATCCTCAATTGTTTCATACTTGTTACGTCGACAAATTTCATTGATCAAAACGGTTTCTGGAGAGTTTGACCATAACAATGACAAAACTCATGTATCTGTGAAAGAAAAACTCCAGTAAAAATTTAGAAGATATCCGAAACGCGATACAGCAAACCTTCTATGAAACATATATAATGCCCTCGAGCGTCGTACTGTCCGTCGTACCCGGCAACAGATCAATCAATTGAAGCCTTATAATTTTTACCTCATTTACCAACAAAGAGTCCGAAATTTGTATAATCGGAAAATGCCGCCTTACACATTAAAAGAGCCAACGATCTGCATTAGGGTGTTACGATTTTCGGCTCGGACAAAAACTTGACTATATTGTTCAACTCACAGGCAAAACTTGCGAACAGAAATTGTAAGGCGGGCTTTCGCCACCATTTGAACCACTGTGTGCTATACGCTCTGTAGAAAAAACGCTGCCTGCGACGAGTTTTTGGCCTCCTCAGCGCCTAATCTGCCTGACAATATCGAAAATTTTTTTAAATCATTTCAAAAGAAATTCAACGTCCCACGGGACACAATAGGGCACACCAACAAATCATTCTTGACAATGGAGGGAGCTACTTCCCTTTTTACTCAATCAATTTGTAGGCATTTGAAAAATTCATTTATAGACTGGGTTAAAAAGAAAAAGAAAAGAGCGTATATTAAATTGAACAAGAAATAAAAAGAGCGTATATACCGCACAGTTTACAGTTTAAGCAGTAAAGCGAAAGGTGTGTTTCAACTAGTTGCCTCAAGGATGCATCCAGCGTTCCCGCGCTGAATCGCTAGGTCTAGCTTTTGTTTGAGAAATTTGAAAGCTAGTTTCTCGCTTGTTAAGACTGTTATTCGCCTTGCAAGTTCTTTCAAGAAAACTGCAGTAGACCTACAAGCGCCACCCAGTGTTTCCATGGCAACGGGTTCAAAAATTACAGCCTAATTATAGCCTTACGTTATAGCCTTACGTTATAGCCTAATTGTTGTGATAAACTTATTAAATAGATAAAGATATGAAGTTTCTCTAATTCAACACAATGGTACGTACGCGGAATCGCCGTGGTGGCCCCGATAATCATTCGACTGATACTAGTGACACAACATCTGCCTTCTGTGCCTCGGAAGGCTGCTCACGACCATCAGGTGACGTGGGCTGGATACAATGCGACAACTGTGACACATGGTTACACAGTGATTGTGTTGGAGTGAGCAAAGAAGCAGTCCCCAACATCGATTTCAAATGTGACAATTGCAAATTTGAACTCAACCGAAGCCGCAGACAAATATGCCCTGACTGCAACCGATTCGTCACGGTTAAGGCAAACAAGCAGTTCCACACACAGGGTCCCATAAGCAACCGATGTCCAGGCACCGGAAAGAACACTACTCGCAATACAGACAAACGACATGAGTTAGATTTTGAAAACTTTCAAACAACTGATTTTATTGATTTGTTAACTAAGTTTCAATGTCCTACTGTTAAATTTGTCCCTAAATTCGCACGTGTCAACGTTGCCTCCACGTTTGCTGAATGCATCAAAGTTGTGGTTACTAACCCGGAAAGCAAGGAAGCATGGGTCGCTATCTGATCATGCACTCTTGCTGCCTCCGCAAATCTATACGCGCAGTTAAGAAGGTCAGAGCCTCACTTGGAAGCACCATACAGCAACAGATAAATGCTTTCAACAGGGGTGAGTACACTTTGCCTTCTCCAGTCTCGCAGAAACCAGCAAGCTCTGGGAACAACGACAACTCCAAACTGATGATTGCTGCCAAACTTGACGATGGAGATATCAAGGGAGCTGTCAAGTTGGCAGCCAACGACGATACTTTCTTGCCACCGACTCTTGAGAACAAAACACTACTCGACGCGAAACACCCTCCTGCACCCGCAGACAAAGCTACACCCCCATCTAACGACTGTGTTCAACTTCAAGTTATTCAGTCTGAAGTCAGGAGAGCCGTCATGTCTTTTAACGCAGGTAGTGCTGGTGGACCAACGGGCCTCAGACCACAACACGTGAAAGACGCACTCTCACCATCTGCTAACGAAGCTGGAAATAACCTGATCTCGCGTCTGACAGACTACACAAATTTATTGTTGACAGGCAACATCCCTGTGTTCATCAAGCCTGTCGTCTCCACTGCTACACTCATCTCTTTGGCCAAGAAATGTGGAGGAATACGCCCGATCGCGATTAGAGACACTTTGCGAAGACTCACTACCAAATGCATTTCACGGCGCATGCTGGAAAAATTCAAAGAATATTTTTGGCCTTTTCAGCTAGGAGCTGGTGTTAAACACGGGAGTGAGGCGGCGGCCCATGTAGCGCGCGATTTCATTGAGTGCGTAGAACGTGATCAAGCCTTTGTCAAAAATGACTTTGCCAACGCCTTCAACAGTGTAAGACGTGATGTCGTTTTGAAAGCCATCAATGAACACGCCCCGGAGATCTTTAGCTTTGTGAAACTCTGCTACGAAGAAGGCAGTTTCTTGATATATGGTGCCTTCACCATCAAATCAACAGAAGGGTTTCAGCAAGGCGATCCCTTGGCTACGTTTGGATTTTGTCTTATCCTACATCCTGCTTTGCAGAACCTCTTGAGCAAGCTGAAAACTGGATACATGGATGACGTTGCTTTTGCTGATGAATGGCGCACCACTCTCCATGATCTTCTGAGTATCAAACAAGCATGTGAGAAACTTGGTGTTCTTTTGAATGAGAAGAAATGCGAGGTGACAGCTTTTGGGAGCAGTAAAAAGGAGATAGAAAGAGCTTTTCGTGAGACATTTCCCACTATTCAATGCGTTGATGCCGAGGACAGCACACTTCTTGGGACTGGTCTAGGCACTCGGTCGATTCGAGCAGAGTTAGTGGACAAACTTGCGAAACTCAAGACACTCCTGCAGCGAACAGCTTCCTTACCATGTCAAACCGCTTTCTTTCTCATTAAAAATTGTTTCTTTGTCCCTAAACTTATGAATGTCCTCCGCGCTAGTCCTGCTTTTAAACACACAGATTTACTCGACGAAATCGACACACTTGAACGCCTTGAACTTGGGGAGGTAGCAACGAATATACAACTGAGTTGGAAGATAAAATTTTAGTCAAAACAAGCAATGAAAGGCCTAACATTGGAAGCATTGCACAATAGGTGACCAAGACCAGGGATCAACACACGAGATGAGTTCATGAGTAGACACTTAGGGTTTCGGCTTAGGATGAGTTTTGGATGAGTTTTGGTTAAGGAAAAAGAATGAAAAATCATGTGAAAAGAAAAAACTGCAAAATTGAGAAGTTAGATTAAGAAAACTAGTCTCAGAGACTGGACAAACAAGTTTCACTTTGATTATCTACGTAACAATTTGAATGGTGGATATAAATTTGCTCTGAACCTTTTTGTTATCTTTTAAAATTTTTTATTGTCTTTAATTCATTTTGAACTATTTTACTAACCTGACAATGAACAGATTAACGAAACCAATCGAAATCATTTTAGAGTGTTTTTTTTATAGCATTTGCATCAAATTTATATTGAGGCTAAGTTTCCAATCTCTCTTATAACTGGAAAAATATCCTTGTTAAGGCCTGGTTAAAAGCTTGGGATGATTAGTTTCCACAGGGTATAATGACTTGTTTTAAGATTGAAACTTCTATTTTTGTCATGTTTCCTGGAATTAGTGATGTTACCGGTGACCAATCGTCTAGCAGACAATTCTTTTATCATAAAAAACGGAAAAAAAAGAGTTTTCAGCAGGCAAACGTAATGAAATGATGGATGATTGATTGACAAACCCAAAAATTGCCCAGTCTTGTGCCAAGCTTGCCCAATTGCCCAATCAACTCAATTATCTCACTATTTGTCAACAGAATTATCAACTTCTAAAACACAACAGTCTAAAGTAGCGTGAAAACGAAGGTTTACGCGCATTATAGTACTCGTGTTGAGTTGACGCGCAGGAGCAAATTAAAAAGGTGTCAATTAAAATGGGCCTTTCCGTCATGCTACGGTACGTCCAAAAGTTGGATAGGGCCGTACCAACGCTATATAAATACATCGGCAAAACTTTCTGTATAAATCTAATCGATTTTAATGCATCCGGAGAATTTTCAATTAAAATCTACACTCCTCGATTTTAGAACAAAAATAAATGTGTTGGATGTAATTGGATGTATTCTACTTTTTCTTGCACCCTAAGGCAAGAAATTGCACTCCTCTGAATAGCAAAACTTATTTTTGTTCTTAAAATTTTTTTGTGTCCGAGTATGATTCGTTCCGTTTTTCGCGGTAGGTTCAAGCGCTTGGCTGGACGTCCTTCCTTCTCGTCCGCTGGGTCTGATTTTGTCCAATGATGAGTTCCGTATTTCAGCTGGTCTGCGTCTAGGATTCCCAGTAACCGCACAACACACGTGCAAATGTGGCTATGTCGCAGCAACAGATGGAAGACACGCACTTGTCTGCCCGAAGATCAAGCACAGGTTCATCAGACACTCGAATGGCAACATGATCATTAAAGATTCTATAAAATGACTCGGCATCAGTTCCACCATAGAACCTATCGGGCTGCTACGCAAAGATGGACGCAGACCAGATGGACACACACTAATGCCATGGCAGCGAGGACGGACCTTGGCATGGGATTTCACATGTATAAGTCGTTTAGCAAACTCTAATCTGCGAATGGGAGTTCTTCCGGGTGCCAATGCAGCTTCCGAGGCCGAAGTCCGCAAAAGAAACCACTATTCAGACCTGCCTTACACTGTAGTTTTCGAACCCGTTACCATGGAAACACTGGGTGGCGCTGGTAGGTCTACTGCAGTTTTCGTAAAAAGAATGTCCAAATGCTTATGGCATCGGCATGTTTGCCCGAAGAACACATATTGCCGTTGTTTATTCAACTTTTTATGGAATTTGACGTTATACAACAACTATTGCAGTATCAAGAAATGATAAAATTCTTTCGATATTTTCACAAAACCTAGGTTTTGACTCTTGCCCTAAAAATAATGCATGTTTTGAATAGGCCAGCATTGACATTCTAATACACTAGGGGACAAAGTAAAGCGCAAAATCAGAGTTTTACTTTCTTTAAACTGCCTGTTTTCTTAGTCCAATTTGACTGTGCATCCTTCAAGCTTCGATAAAAACTTAAAATATACCAAGAGCAAATGATAAAAGCTCCTCTGTGAAACTAATAATTTTTGGTTTCAAAATTTTATCAGTGGTTTCAAAATGCTGTTTGAAACTAATAATTTTTGGTTTCAAATTTTATCCGGGTCTTAAAGTGCTGTTTTCCTCATCTACCCTACATTTGAAGTGATTTCGTGATTGATTAGGGGGAGTAAAAAGATTGTTCATTAGACGTAAAACATTCTCATATGAAAGTGAGAAAACGAAAACAATCAGTATGAAATTTTACTAAACTTGGATGTTTCTTACTTTTTCACGCGAAGTAAAAAACTTGAAGCAGGTGAATTGTGGCATTCTTGGACCCAGATTACAAAGGTAAGTCATTGAAATCAGATATTGATAGTTTCACATAAAGTAGCTCTGATTATTTGCTCATGTTCTAAGTAAAAGTTTGTTCAATTTCAAGGAAATGTTGTCCAAAATGGACATTGAAAACAGGCTTTATAGGGAGTAAAATTGTGAATTTGCGCTCAATTTTATTCGCTCAAAAGGCACTAGTTTCTGTTGGATCTGTTTCCAATTGAGGAAGTCTGTCTGCATAATTAACTATGTTTGAAACGCATAGCTTACCTTATAAAACAAAAAGGTCGAACTTGTTCTATTACCATATGCAAAATCGGTTTTTTATTTCATAAAGTCTTATAGAAAACCAAAATTAGTTAATAACCTCAAAAACATTCATAATATTTTGATTTGAATGTTACCGATGTATTATCACTTCTAAACTTCGAAAGACGTTATTGAAATGATTTTCTTGCAAATCCTCAATTTGTATGGTTCGTATTGGTTACGTCGACAAATTTCATTGAGAT